TACACACAAGATCAAGTTATTATCCAGTTCTATATTCCAGTATGTTATTAAATATTAATTATCATTATAATAATAATTATTATACTAATAATTAATAGATAACACTGAAGTGCACTGGTGAAGCTCCTGTACACGTTACAGTTACTGTAATGTGTAATAATGGAACTGATAGCAGTACAACTTACCTAATAAAGCAAAAGATCAATGTAACAGGATTAATAATAGTCCCTCAGTATCAACAGTGTAATATCAGTACTGTATTTAGTAATGAGGCTGGTAGTAGTGAACCATTTATACTAGGATTTGGTAAGTATATATATGTGTCTATATTACGGTGTGTACTCAAGTATTACATTAACAGATACATATCCTACTATCACTAGTGGCACTAATATTACTATTGTCACTATTATTGATACTGCTATTACTACTACTGATCATGATACTATTACTGTACAAACATCTCCTACCATCACATCTCCTGCTATTACACCTGTTTCAACAAGTTTTAATATTAGTATTGGTTAGTATTCATTATATTTCAATATAATGGATTAATACACATTATCTATGTTAATTTATTATAGTTATTATCATATCAGTACCATTGGGTGCTGTTACTATATTATCACTAACATGTCTTATTGTGTTTATTATTATTAAGTACAAAAGGGAGTTTTGCAGTAAGTATGCATATACTATTTATTATTAATTATCAATTACAGGGTTTACTTCATTGCAACAACGACAACAAGAGGTTCCTACTTCACATAATGAAGCATATGAATTTAACACTTTAATCATTGATAATAATCCTGCTTATGGACAAATAGGACAAGCTGGAGCAGTTAGCATGTGATTAGTTAAATTTGAAAATGCTATACTAATAATGTATTTTGTATTAAGATTGATATCTTAAGTATACATAATTGTGAAAACACACACATTTAAACTATAGCTTTTTTTTATAGTAAAAGAACTATAAACTATGATAGACAGACTGACATGGAGACTGCCTGTTAGGCCCACCTGACAAGAGACTTTATAGCAACCAATAATAATCATGGCTTAACATTAATAATAATATTGCCACTAAGACATCAAATAATAATAACTAATGCCTGCAAGTTACTAACAAATCTAGTTTACTACAACAGCATGTACACAAGTGTGACATTTAAAATGTAGTAGAAATTGGGACCGTACTGTAGTAACTTGATATCATGCTTACATACATACATGCACATAATTATGTAATTATTTCATTTTATGTAAATTTAGTTCATTACTAGTTGTAGTTTTTACATGTGCCCATACATTCCTTTAACAGTTGTGTGTATGCTATTGTCTCTTGTGATTCTCTCTTTCTGTCCTCTTTATTCTTTCATTATCTCTTAGTATCATTCTATTGTTTGACTTTATAAGGATACTGATTGGTGTTATGTACTCTTGGTGCTCAAATCACTATTTACAACAGGTACTTTTGTATAGGAATAGCTTAGTATAAAATCAAGTAGGTATGAGGTATCAAATATCAATTAAAAAAATTAAATTGATGAATTATATCAAAATAATTTATAGTAGTACCATAATTAACACACATATGGTAAAATCCCTTGCAGCATCAGTTTCATTTGCTTTGCCAACTGCAAGATATAGATAGTCCTTTGTTTGTCCTCCATACATTGAATTTGTGAAAATAGCATTTTTCCTGAAACAAATAAATTAAAGTACCACTCTCTTAGCTCTATAAACATACTTTATTGCCCATGGCTTTATGATGATCCTATGATTATTATTAAAAATACATATACATAACAAGTTAATTAACTTACTTCATTTTTACATTTGATTTTTATAGCGTCTATTAATAGTCATGATAATACTTTAAATTAAAATAATGCTAACTTTTAAAGACTTACTTTTATGCCATTTCAGCATTAAAATGCATAAAATTACAAGGATTAGTAGCACAACAAAACCAATGACAGCAGCAGAGATGATACCTATACATAGTATATTTACATTATAATAAAACAACATCTTATAAAATAAGTTGTTAACCTGAAGATGATGTTTTTGGTGGAGTAGTTGGTGCTAAAGTTGGTGTGACACTTGGTGATGATGAGCTAGTTTTTATAGGAGGTATGGTAATATCTAATAACAATTTCAATGCCAAATAATACACATAATACTGAATACTTACCAACTGTTTGTATATATGTACTACCAGCCTCGCTAATACTGATATTACACTTTTGATTTAGCGGTATTGGTACTGATCCTGTTATATTTATTAATTGTTTAGTATTCTCCGTTAGTACAACACCAGTTTCATTACATTGTATAATAACAGTTATATTCCTAGGGGCTTCACCATCAGTACACTTAAATTATTGCAAGTATATTATAACATAATTATCTAGTTTTTATTTCTTACTCGTGGTATATTGAAATGCAATGTAACATCACCAGTCTCAGTGTAGTTATCAAAAGTCAGATTGAATGAGTAACGGCCTAGAAAATGGTTATATTACCTCTTTAAAATGACAATTAAATATTACCTCTAAAACTAATATTATTAGATAAGCCTATTCCAACATCATTAATAGGAGAAACTGATACATTATTCAATATACAAGGTTCATGATTAGTTGCTGATAATACAATATTAGTATTATTATTAGTAGTAGTAATGTTCACTAATTCATTGACTATATAGTATCCAGTGATAGGTACATTATCCAGTGTATAAGGAGCTGTCCATGTTAATAATACACTGGATCCATTAATGAAAGTGTAATTCAGATCAACAACACTATTCAATAGACCTAAAGAAGTAAATAATAGTCCTGCAGCCTATATTACATTCTTATTTTTGTGTCATGTGAATGAGATTCATGACTTATGATATTCATAGGGATAGGTACCATAAATGGAAAATTCACCCTTCACCTATACAGCTCCGCTATATACTTGCTTGCTCTGCTTCAAGAATGGTGAATCAGTTATAGTCTATGTCTCTGTAGCAACTAATGCTATGGTATATTTAGCACTGAAATTTCTGATTATTTTCTCCCTAAGATACCTCATAAAGTTTGTGAGGATTTACTATTGCTAAAATGTATTTACATCATTGTATATTTTGTTTGCTCTTTCTTTATTCCTAAAAGTTCTCCAATAAGGTGACCTTATACAAGAGCAGCTAATGCACTTAAAGTTAAGATAGTTATTGTACAAATTCTTTATAGGTGAAGTTTTTGGTCATGGATTTTCAATCTCACTGATCCTACATCAAGTGCTTTGTCAACAAAGGTTTTTTTATGCATAAATTTTGAGCTGTGTAATGCGCATCATTTGCAAGTTTGCAAAGGAGCTGAGAAAAGCATGGCTCCTCATCATTGGTCCCAATATGCACCCTAAAGAATTCAGTGCTCAATGATTTGAGCAATGAATCAAAAGTCATTAATAATTATAAGCTAGAGTAAACTCTAACACTTATAATACTAAAGTTAAGTTTCAAAAATTCATTATTAAAGCATTAGCTAAATAGCTTTGTAAAAATTTTGTCGCTTGATGTCTTAGCCTTTCCTGGTTTTATTCTGTAGATCAGTAAGGCAGCCATGAAACCATAATGCATAAAGCCACTTCAATATGTTTCACGGTTTCTGACTGTTCCTGCATAATATGAGCAGGTTTGTGTGCCGGATTATAGCTAAACTGCATGTGTGTATAATGAATAGTGATGTGACACCATACAGGCGGGTAACAGGAAACTATAAATCATTTGGAGTAGCTTTAATAATTTTCCTATTTTTTACAATAATTACATA